TAGCATCAGACCTTCTGGACGCATTCGTCGAAGAACTCCAGGCAGGCGTGTCGGTCGCTGACGAACGAGCATTCCTCGATGAACTGGGTGAACATCTGAGTCCTGGTCAGCTGGACGTAGAACTTCTGCTGGGCTCGCTCGCGAGACTTCAGGAACCCTGCAGGAGGAGAGGAGATTAAACCATCATCAAGTCAGGTGCGGCGTCCTGAGAACAGACACTTTAACGTAAGAGCAGACAGCGCACCCTGCAGGTTGAACAGGGAGCTGCAGTCGGTGGTGGTGTCGGACGGCGCCTGCGTGATGGGCAGCAGGTAGGCCCGGTATCCTCGCAGCAGGCAGCTCATGAAGCGGAGGAAGGCCTCCTGGATCTCCAGCTCCAGCTGCTTCTGACGCCTGTAGATCTGGTCGTAGTCTGTTAGCAGGAACTCCAAGGTCGCCTCCTCCTGGCCGGGACTGCAAACTGCAGGATAAGCGGCAATGTGAAACCTTCAGCTGACCTCAGCTGCTCCTTCTGCGTTCTGATCCACTCACTCTTCTCCAGGGTCCTGTGGAGGTTGGTCAGGGTGCTGAACAGACTCTTTCCATGCTTCCTAGGTAACGATCGCCATGACAACTGCTTCTTATCATCAGACCTGAAAGTATCCCAACAAACCAGCTGATGATGCTGACATTATCAGCAGCAGCATAAATATTAACATTTCTGCAGAGTCCTGCGGACTCACTGGAAGATGGTGTTGGTGTCCAGGTCGACGCAGATGACTTCTGGCGGCGGGTCGTAGAAGTCGAAGTAGCTGGAGTGAACGCCGACGATGAAGGGCATCGGCGCCAGAAGCACGTCGGCCATCTGCAGCGGGCACAGAGGGATGTAGGGGCAGAGCCAGCGCAGGGGGAAGGTCATCTGCACAAGGAGAGGTCAGGTACAAACAGCTGCAGGAACAGGTTCTACAGGAAGCTTCAGTTAATTTATTTACTTTATTTATTTATTTATTTTAAGTCTCTTATCAAACGATCACATGTTTTATTTGGAGCGGAATTAACTGAGAGGAGATCCTGACTAAATGTTTACACCATAGGAATGTATTTTTGTCATATTAACTTAGAAAAATATGTTTCCTATTTAACTAATAAAAGCTGAAGAACCAGCAGTAACATCTGATACGGGTTGGAAGATTAACAGTTTGGGTCCAACTGCTTTGGCCCGTTCTGTTTCTGATGGTTTCTGAAGGCAGCAGCTTCTACAGCTGAGAAAATTTTTCTGTCTCAAAACAGCCAAAATAATTAGATTTGTTCTATGAGTACAAACTGATCTGGAATCAATGGTTCCACTAAGTAACAGGAAACCCATCTGACAGCTCTGTCAGTACGCGGACATTTTCTTACAGAGACTAGGGCTTCGCTGACGGATGTGAGGACGTCGGGTCGCAGCGAATGCAGCAGGAGCTTGTGTTCGGTGAGGACGGCCAGCAGCAGTGTGCAGGCGTTCCCTGGACCCAGGTTCTGCAGAAGCTTCAAGAAGCTTGCTCCGCTGCCACACAGACGACAGCAACAGTTAGCATTCAGATGACACCCACAGTTAGCATTCAGACGACACCAACAGTTAGCATTCAGACGACACCAATAGTTAGCATTCAGAGGACACCCATAGTTAGCATTCAGACGACACCAACAGTTAGCATTCAGACGACACCAACAGTTAGCATTCAGAGGACACCAACAGTTAGCATTCAGAGAACACCCACAGTTAGCATTCAGAGGACACCCACAGTTAGCATTCAGAGGACACCCACAGTTAGCATTCAGATGACACCAACAGTTAGCATTCAGACGACACCCACAGTTAGCATTCAGTGGACACCCATAGTTAGCATTCAGTGGACACCCATAATACGCATTCAGAGGAAACCCATAGTTAGCATTCAGATGACACCCATAGTTAGCATTCAGACAACACCCACAGTTAGCATTCAGATGACACCCATACTTAGCATTCAGAGGACACCCACAGTTAGCATTCAGATGACACCAACAGTTAGCATTCAGACGACACCCACAGTTAGACTTCAGTGGACACCCATAGTTAGCATTCAGTGGACACCGATAGTTAGCATTCAGAGAACACCCACAGTTAGCATTCAGATGACACCCATAATACGCATTCAGAGGACACCCATAGTTAGCATTCAGAGAACACCCACAGTTAGCATTCAGAGGACACCAATAGTTAGCATTCAGAGGACACCCACAGTTAGCATTCAGAGGACACCCATAGTTAGCATTCAGAGGACACCCACAGTTAGCATTCAGATAACACCCACAGTTAGCATTCAGAGGACACCCACAGTTAGCATTCAGAGAACACCCATAGTTAGCATTCAGTGGACACCCATAGTTAGTATTCAGAGGACACCCACAGTTAGCATTCGGAGAACACCCATAGTTAGCATTTAGATGACACCAATAGTTAGCATTCAGATGACACCCATAGTTAGCATTCAGAAAACAAAAAGACAACCCTATCAGGTACCCAACAAGAGTTAGAAATTAAAGGAATGATATAATATTTTAAGAATACAGCTTTGTGCTGGTTGTGTTTGACCTAAACACAATCTGAGGGTGAGACGGTAATGGCGTTCCTCAGGGCTCATAGCTGTACCTCTGCTAAACAAAGGCAGATTTATCCTTCACCGTGTCAGGTTTATATCAGATTCAGGATAAATTTGCCGTTTATCCTGAATGTTGCGCCTTCAAGTTTGATTCCTTTCTTCCTTCCTTCCTTACTCGCTTCCTTACTTCCTTTCTTTTCAGTTTTCGTTGACATCGAATGTGAGATTTGACAAATTTAAAAACTGAAAGACTAACAAACTAAACACTGAAAATTCAAGAATATTTAAAAAAAGGCAAACTGATGATGATGCTGTCATCTTCACCTGCAGCATTTTTTCAATGAGAGATGATTTCAGCGTCACTGCAGAGTTCCTGCAGCTACTATGTCACTACAAGCTGACACCATTTTTGCGTCGGGGGGCGGGGTTAAACTGAAGGCTCCTTCAGGGTCCTTCACTGATTTGGTTTCATTATTAAAGTGAGCAGCTTGTAGCTGCAGGAACTCTGCAGTGACACTAAAATGCTGCAGCTGAGGGATGACAGTTCGATCATCAGATTTTTATGTTTTTTGAGGGAATATTTAGTGTTTGAATTTTCTATGTTTTCATTACCAGGGTTTGGATTTTAGTTGCCGAATCACACATTTAAGGTTAGTGCAAGCTGTCACTGACTGAGCTCCATAGTCTAACTTAAAGCAGCTCCTTGTAAAACCTGGTTTTAAAAGGAGCCACTAGGAGCTGCTAGAGCTGTGACTTCCAGGTTTAGCGCCCCCTGAAAGCAGCTAGCAGCACTACGCTGTAGCTTAATGAACCAGTCCCTCTGTGATCTGGTTCTGGTATCAAACCAGTTTGGACCAGCAGGATGAGAAGTGTTGGATTTCCTGGTAAAGACATGGGAACATTCCCCCCTCTAGATAAAATCCTCCATCTGTTTGATTTGCTAAGAGTAACTGTTAGTTTAGTTAGCTCTGGTGTTTAAAGGAGGCTCAGACTGACATAAAGCTGCACTCATGGTCACATGACCTATTCGGTGACAGAGCTAACAGTCTGAAGTTTCAGAGTTTTTGAGAAGGAGCATCTGTTTGCACCAAGGGCTGAATACTGACTTAAACGATAATTTATCATATCTCAAATTAAGCGAATATTTGGGATTAAAATTACAGCGTCTTGATTTAAAATACTCAGAGTTTCCAGGTTGTATTCCCTGCCTTCATGAGATTGAACAACTGGGCTCTCCAGGGACTAGGGTGTGCTTCCAAGACACATTTGAGGGACTAGGACTAACCTGATTTGAAGTGGCGAGGAGACCGGCTGGCAAAGCAGCAAGTTGTCGTAGGGTGAGAGCTGCAACACAGACAGAAAGCATTAAAACAATGGAGGAACCCGAAGTCTGTCAGGTCATCAGATCTGACTCCGATCTGGGCAGAAAGTCCAGATCACAAGGGAGAGAAGAGCAGCGCGACCAGCGGATCGCTTGTTTCTATCAGATCCATCAGATATGCTGATGACACTGAGCTATATTTATACATTAAGCCATTATACCAGTTTAATAGAAATCAAACATTTCATTAAAACACAAACCAGGATGACTTTAAACTGAAGAGAGAAATTATCACCTTTAGACCAGAACCCAGACACCCTGTCTACTTTTAAGGCTAGGCTTAAACCTTCCTTTTTGATAAAGCTTCTAGTTAGAGTGGCTCAGGTTATCCTGATCTATCTCTATAGTTATGCTGCTATAGGCTTAGACTGCTGGAGGACATAGGGACCCCTTTTCATCATTCTGCTTCATTCTATCTCTATTCTAGACTAGAATCTAGTCTAGACTAGACTAGAACCATGTTTTACTGGGATCACAGCAGCAATTCCTGCATGTCTTGACAGGATTTTCTAGGAAGGGAGATGGTTCTGATCCGTTTAGTTTTTGGAAGTTTTTCGTTCTTCCTTTAACTCCTGTCTGCAATCTTGCTTAATCTTTCATTTGGTAGCAGAATCTTCTGCCTGGTTCAGATTCTCACCTGAACGAGGATCCGAGGACGCTGAGGGGAAGGAAACGGGACGTTGTGCATGAAACTGGAGATGTGTCTGCAAAAACAAAAACAAAACTGTAGACATAGAAGAACAAAGGATGCAGGCGTATGCAGATTTTTTTAGGACTTAGTTAAAAACACGAATCGGTACGGACTTCTCGAGCGGTAGGACATGCGGCCCGGAGATGGAGTATCTGTAGATAAAGGTGAGGAACTTCTGGAAGACTGTGAAGAACGGCCAGTGGGAGAGAACGCAGATGCTCTTCTTGGCATGCAGACTGCGGCCGGTGATGGGCCGCCGGTCCACCACGCTGAGAAGGCCGAGCCGGATGTTCTGCCGCTCCGACAGGTGCTCCCTGGAGAAGGACTCGTAGAACTGGATGGCAGCTCCGTAAACCTGCAGGAAGACACGTGGTTTATTCCCTAGTCCTCCTATACTGAGTCGTACCACGGGTCCGAAGTTCTCTGCTGATTATTTATTTTCTCTTGAATTATTTATTTTGCTTTAATTCAGAGGAGATCCGCTTAATGTCTCGCTCACCTTGTCTCCGGAGGCGGATGTGAGGACGAAGGTGGAGAAAATGGGCAGCTGGTACTTGGAGTTCAGTGGCCAGCTCTCCACGGTGACGCCCATTGGCAGGCAGAAGACCGGCACCGACTCGGGAAGAGGGAACGCCTCCAGGTCCTCCACCGGGTACCGGCTGATCAGACCTGCAGAGCACAGAGGTTTGGATCCCTGAGCCAGGCCTGACTGGTCCCTCTGTGAGAAGTTTCATCTGACAGAATGAGAGGATCTCTCTTCATTTGTTTCCGTTTGTCCCAAAACAGCCTGATTTATGAAGCACACAGTCCTGGTCCAAAGTTCTCTAGGGCTCTAAAGCCACAGCTCCGGACGCTCTGATTGGATCTACCTGCTCACGCTGTACGTCTAAAAACCACATCGGATTCAGCCACGGAGAGAGATGGCGCAACTGGGATGCATCTATCCAGATGAATGGTCGTGAGAGGCTAATCGCCCCTCGTTACCCCCTGTACACTACACCATGCAAGATCAGGCTGATATTCAGCCCGATCGGAAATTTATCGCACTACTAGAAAGTAGGGCCAAAAAGTGCAAACAATCACACTGTTTAAGCCCGGCTTAAAGGTTTCCTTTGCCGCATGTTGACTCACGTCAGACTGATCCTGTGATCGTAAAACGGATGATCTGATACAAGAAAAAATCTAATCTGGAGCTAGTTTTACTGTACCGGTAGGTGTTGTGATGAGGCAGAAACTATATCTGGGTCCATGGCTGCGGGAAGTGGGGGTGCATTAAAAATACTTTACACAATTAATAAATTTGTGGAAAGTATTCTACCTTTTTATATTTTACTATTACGTGCACTTTGGTTTCAATTTCAATATCTTGAGGCCTAATCAACACAAGCGCATGGAGGCTACATTGTCATGACAACGTCGAGCAAGCTGGTGGTCGCAGCTGTAGCCCGCTCGCGGCAGCAGGCTTGTAAATTTACATAGGTCGGTTCTCAATTCACAAGAACGCGAGTACCGACTTGTGTCCTCGCCAAGTAGGTTCTTGATTTGAACCCAGTTAAGTCTGGACTCGGGGAGAACGGTAGAACGCAGCATAATTCTGGGTCAATTGGAACAGAAGCGTACTGATGACATCACCACATTCAAAGCTAGTTTGAAGCTGCATTTCTCCTCCTGTTATTAATAGTCTCTAGATAATAATAAATTATGACTTATTTCATTTAGTCAGGGAATAATGATTAACACAGTCATATAAAGACACAAAAAAAACATTTTGCCAAATAAAACAAAAACTTGCCATCAGAGCCAGTGGTCCTTCACACACGGCTATGCAGAGAAAAGGCTGCTGCAGATGTGCTAACGTTAGCCCTGGCCACTGCAGGCGGGCTAATGTTAGCCTTGGTTACTGCAGACGGGCTAACGTTAGCCCTGGCC